ATTGAGGGAACTAGATAGTTCTGTTTATACATAGGTTTGCAAGAGGCATGGTCCTTGGGCCGGCAACCAGTGCCTGCACTGACAGCCTCTGATGAATTTGATGAATTAAAGGGTTAACTCAGTATATTCCTGTAACAAAGATTTTCTCACAAGAGCTTACTGAGATTCTGGGTTGCTTCCAGAGACATGGTGTTTGCCTTTTGGGGTCCAGGTCCCACCACCCCATTATATGGACTAAAGGTTAGAACTAGGTTCCTCTTCTGTTAATGGGTGTACTGCTACCCTGCTACATTTGTGGAACTTGTTCTTGCACATCTAGGATCCTTCCTCCCTTCAAACTGCATCCAATCCTCTTCACTCTAGAACTGTGAATAGGAACTGGGTAATTGGTGACACAGATGCCAAATGGCACCCATTTCTAATCCCAGTGCTAGCACAAGAATCTCTTGGTATCTTTCTGCCCAGGTGGTCAATCTCCTTAATATACCTGGGTTCTGGGTTGCTTCCCACTGCTACGGTTTCCCCTCCAACCTGCTGCAGCTTCTGCTGCTTCTATCTGCTGCTCCACTGTTGCTGCTGCCAGGTCAGCTTCCAAACCAGTGTCCACAGACATATCTATCTTCCTAAGCTTCCTTGGGCTGGAAAAATAACTTTCTCTTGGCTTTCTCAATCAAAATTTGGTCTTTTTATGTTCTATATGGGTCATTGTGAAGAAAATGTGAAGGAATTAAGGCAAAATTGACAGCTTTCATTCCTCCATCTTGACTCTGCCCCAAAGCCAGATTTTAAAGGGATTTAAATGCTAAACATACATGTTTCTACGTCATTCTAAATGCAAAAGAGGGTGCCCCCAAAACTATTTGAGCAGTGAAATAAATAACATAGTCAGATCTGTACTTTAGAAATATGAGATGGCAACAAGGTGGAGGATATGTTAGAGAAAGGACAAATTTCAAAAAGGGAGACTAATCAGGAAGATATCACATAAGAGTCCAGAGTATGTGACATATTGCAGCAGTGGAAGGAATACTTAAGCAAAAATCAGTAAACAGAGACTTTTAGCCTAGATTTGATTGCTTACCAAGTCAATCAATCAATCAACAAGCATTTAAATGTCAACTGCATACTAAGCACTAAGGACACAAAAAGAGAACAAAATAGTTCCTATGGCTTAAGCGAATCATCAGCTTAATTTCTGCTTTAGAAAAATGGGAAAAATATTTGCCCTGTCTTGGTTATATGGCTGCTGTGAACACTAAATGAGATGGGAAATATGAAATTACTTTGAGAAACTCTACACTACCATATAAATGTTATATGTGACATTATGTTATTCATAAATGTTAGTCTTATTTTGATGTATCATGACACAGAGGTGACTCTAAGTGCCAAAGTCTATGTCAAAGTATAGCAGGCATACCAGTAGTAAAGGGCTGTAAAAGTGTGGGCTTGGTTAAAAAAAAAAGTATATTTACATTGGGAGAGACCTGACACCAAAAAGGTAGTTAGGTGGTGACAAATTACTTTTGGCCACGGCAATACATGAAAATAGTTTGCACTAAAGGGTGAAGAAATTGTCATCTATATTGGTAGCAGGAGGGCCCTCTCCATTAAAATCAATCATGTCTCTTCTAAAGTACTGAAGGACAATTATAATTATCTATATATTTCATGTGAACACTAATGTGCTAAGTTGGTAATGGATTTAAACATTAGAAGTGTGTTGTATATAAATATGAATGAATTAACTTCATCAGTTTAGTAAATGCCATAAAATTGCTTTCCCTTTGCCCTTCCCAGGCTATACACAATATAGATAGATTGGTTTTTCTTATAATCCTTCTTATACAATGTGTACTTACTGCCCTCAATTAGGCCTCAAAAAATTGTCATGATAGTACTGAAAAATGAAGTGTTATCTGGCGAACTAGACCAAGTTATACTAAGACTAAATTAAACTACTTCTAGCATTTGTATTTTATATACTATCTTATATGAGAAATTCAAAACATTTTATTTATATTACCTAATAAACGTTCACATCATCAACGTATCATTGAAGTAGTTTGAATCTCTCTGTAAATTAGTATTGCTCAGTTATTCTCCAGATTTAAAAAGTTAAATTCATCTTGGCTTCCATAAGGAATGAAAATGCATTTTAACAGAAAACATGATGTCTGATTTTTAAAAACTTGCCAGTGATTTCTCATATAGAATGAAAAATATTAGTTGCAGCCACATGATTGCTAGTTGGAACGATACTATAAAAAAAACAGAAATAAAATGCTATTCATGTAGGTTTTTATGGAAACTAACATTTCTAAGAACTAACTGCATTTTCAACTCTTCAAAGAGTTGCTGTGGTTGATGAGGAAGGAAAACAAAAGTTTGCAATACATAAAAAAATGCGACTTGCTCTAATGTGAAAACAGTGTTTCCAAACTCTCATCTAAGGATAAAACCTAGGCAGTAAAAGAGTTAAAAAGTGAGGGTGGAGAAGGGGAAAGGAAGCCTTTCCTTACTTCTGTGAAGATATGAAGGGCTTAGCTGCTTACTTTTACATTCTTCAAGCAAAAAACCAGGGATGTTAAAATGAAGAACAGAGGCAACAACAATTCAGTCACTAAAGTATTCCCTATATAATTATATGACATGACATGAGATTCTAGATTTATATAAACTGTCTACATCACTCAAGAAAAGTTAAAAGCAAAGAGCAGAGGTTGCCCTAAAATCCCTTCACATCACCAACATGAAATGATTAGCCTAAAATGGTTAAGACAAATGAATGAGAAACCTCATCCTTCATGAAAAATCATTATTAAGTATTCACGTTCTTTGGTCCTGACCTGTAATTTCACCAGTGTAGGGAACTCCCTTCAGGGGAATTCTCTGTGTTAAAGTAGATCAGCAGGTGTTATGAAACTCAGAGACAATCAGTTGCCTGGAAGAGTGGTGTCAAACTCAAACAGAAATAGTGGCCACTGAACAATACACAAGGATCCCTGTGGGCCACATATTGACTTAGAAAACCACATATTAATATATTCTCTTCTATTACATATTTATTTACTTGGCTAAATATTTCCCAATTACATTTTAATCTGGCTCAGGGGCACTCAGAAACATCTGTGAGCTCCCACAGTGTTTGACACCTCTTGCCTGGAGCAATGGAATGTAAAGTGCCTCGCCCAGAGTCACACAGTTTTGTGTCTGAGTCAGAACTTGAACCCTGGTCTTCTTCACTCTAACCTAGTGTTCAAGCAAATATACCACTCTATCTCTCTTGTTAGTTAAATTATTTAAGTAAATTTACTACTTGCACAACAACTTAAACTGAAATGTAAGGTTACTTAACTGTCAGCTGAAATAATTTAACAATTTCATTAACATCCCCTTCACCACCTAGTAAAGGAATTATAGATTTTTCTCCACTAAGATCTTTAAAAACCCATTTGCATATGAAAAGATGATATATAGTGATTCATTAGTTAATAGTAGCATTATGGAAAAAGATGCATCATAACATGCAAAGAATAAGACTGTAGCAAAGCCAAAATGTCACCTTTACCCTGTGTGTTGCATTGCTCTTGGGCACATCCTAAAGTCTAGTGGTCTGGCGCTAGGTGAGGTTTTTTTTTTTTTCAAAATAAAAATGGACATATGCTATTCAACATAATTAACGACCTTTATCCATAAGCTAATAAAGAGATAGTTCTGAAACACAGGTCTTGCCAGGTAATTCATTTGCTCAATAAAGTCTACTTTCTCTTAAGTGTACAAAGACTTTTGTAAATATATGTAAAAAGAGCTTTAGGCTTCTCTGCACATATTCAGTTGACTGTCTCTAATGTACACTCAGGTCCCACAAATCCTAATCCAGATATATTTTTTAGGTAAAAGATAAATCAATCAATGAGTTAATCAAGATGCATTTATTAAGGGCATACTATGTATTTGTATATTCATATGTGTGCATAACCAGAATCTACTTCTATGTACTAGGTTGGGAGGATGCACAAATTAAACAATTCCTATTCTTAAAGAGTTTACATTCTACTGGAGGAGGCAATGTGTATGTATACACATATAAGAATATGCAAAATAAATACATGGTACTTAGGGAGGAAGAAGGGCACTAGCAAGTGGAGAGGTTGTGTGGAAAGTAGTGGGTGAGCTGAGTCTTGAAAAAAGTAAGGGATTCTATGAAAGGGGGTGCTTTTCAAATAAAGGGAGAAATGCAAAGGGATGGAGGTAAGAGATAGAATGTCACATGTGAGAAACAGAGAAAGTCAGTTTTGGTGGACCACAGGGTCAAAGAAGGAGAGTAATGTATACAGAAATTAGAAAGAAAGGTTGTGACCAGGTTGTTAAGAAATTTAAAAGCCAGTCTAAGATTTTAGTGCTACACTTAGTTGTTGTTTTTGTTTATTTATTTACTTGCTTGTTTGTTTAATTAAGCCTAGGCCAAAACCTAGAGTCAACAGAATAAGCTGAAGCCAGGGAAATGCAAAAATGGATGCAAAGTTCCTCCCCCTCCCACCCCAGGATTTAGTCATGGAACCATAAAGCTTTAATGCTGAAAGAAACCTCACAGATAAGGAAACTGAGGCAGAAAAAAGGTTTGTGACTGGCCTAATTTAAACCAAATGTGAGTAACACAGTAAGGATTAGAACACAGGTTCCTCTAAGTCTTACTCTAATGATCTTTCCAGGCTACCTTCCTCAAACTGTGACAGAATCCCAGAATAAGAGAGTTCCTAATTAAAACTGGAAGGACTAGTTCAAAATTCCATAATAATAAGAAGTATTACTTTGATTTTTAACAAAGAGGAAACAACAAATGATCAGTCTGGATTGGCTTATTCAATATGAAACGTATGTATTATTGATAAAAAAATAATTATATACATTTCCTATATTTTGCAAGACTGAGAATTTGATTTAAAAAAAATTCTTCATTTATCAGTTGAACAAAGTAAGTCTCTTGAAGTGTTTACCTGTGATGGGGTGAATCCAGACATGTGAAAAGCTGAAAAGACAAGTGGAACCTCAGTTTTCAACAACATTTCAATATAATGAGCACCACAAAAATATATGGGATGTATGCCAGACTCTGAGATATCAGTAGGTAGGTATTTCTGAAAGAAAAAGAGAAACTGAGAATTAGTGAAAATGTTGGCTGAATCAAATGTGCACTTGTTTATATCCTGTCATGTTACTCCTTAAATTGTTGCTGTGCAATTAGTGTGGTAGCACAGAAACAAAGTAGATTGATATATATTATAATTATGAAACTCAATTTAAGTTAAACTTAAGAATACTAAAGAATACAGAGAAAATAAAAGTTGGGGAGATAAATAGTCTTCAAATACACAAGGAAAAAGTGCATTGGCCAACTTTGGCTTCCTGTAATAGCATAATTTTATGCTGAATTGAAAACAACCACCTTCAATATAAGAAGTCCAGTAAAATGAATGAGATCAGTCTTAATTGTATTTTCTGAACAGCATGCCCTTGCTGCTAACTGAATTTTCAAAGATGAGATAATAATACTTCTGATTTTTTATCTCATCAGCTGTCTGTTCTCCTAGCATAAAGGTGATCTATCCTATACATCTATATTGTCTGCACTGCCTAGCACAGGAAATATGTCAGTTGAAATGTGAAATAATTCATACTTCAAAGGCTAAAGATATTTTAGCACAGGCTAAATATGATTTTATTGCTCAATAAATTTTTTGGATTAATTCATAGCATGGAGAGACACAAATTATCTGACAACACACAAAGAGAAATTTCACTCTTATCTGCCACACTATTTGTATAGAACTATATTAATAAATACATTTATAGAGCAATAGTTGATGGTGATAAAAGTTCATAAAACTGCTATGTATTATTCTAGTACCTTCTGAAACAAGAAAAAATATAGCATAGTTTTAATTTTAATGATGTTTTACAGAATCCTAACTGTTTAAAAAGCAGAAACATCTATGAGTTAATTCTATATAATTCTATAGAAGATTTGACTATTAAGAGCATATAATCATTCCCTAATCATGCTGCATAATAGATATTTTTTTAAAGTAATATGCAACTAAGAATATTTAGATAAAGTTAAGAAAACAGTGGGGTGGATGACTAGGAAAAATTTATAGATATTAATATGTATTAGAAAATGTATGGTTAAATAAAGAAATGAGTAAACTCAGGATTAAAAAAAATAGAGGTTAATATATCATCTTCCTGTGGGGTTGTTGTAAGGATCAAATGGAAAATTATTTGTAAAAAAAAAAATGCTGACCACACTGCATGGTGCATAGTAGGTGCTATATAAATGCTGATTCCCTTCCCCTTTCTCTTCCCTCAGGTTGTTAGAAAAATCATATTTTATTCTAGTGAGCATTAGTTAGCTAAATTTATATTTTCATTCTCTTAAAGATATTTCAATGGAGTTAATTTAGCTCATGAACCTGGAAGAAATCATGTCATTTGGAATCCAGACCATTTTTTAAAATATGGAAATGAAGAGCATTCAAACATAAATCTTTCTAATTTAAAAGTAGTTGTGGTGTACGGTCACCTTGAAGTACCAAGGTGAATTTATCTCTTTATTCATTTAACATTTTTCCATCATTATTAGTTATATGATCTGCCTGGTCTTTGTGCCCAAGATGCTAATGTAATGGCCACTCAAAAATATTTTATGCATTTAAAGTTGTTATGTTATTATTAGTTAAATGCCTTGCCTGGTCTTTCTGCCTAAAAAGCTAATAGCTAAGTAGCCATTCAAAAAAAAAAAAAAGCTGGTGTGACTTAAAAAATAGAGTTCACGAAGCTTGACATATGATTCTGAGAAAATCGTAGAGATTAAAAAACAAAAACCCTGCAAGATAAAAAAAAAACCCTTTAAACTTTGCCAGCTGCCAAATTTTCTAGCCTTTGACTACAAGTTCCAGCACATTTTTTGAAGTTCAATAACTTGTCAAAGTGTTCAACCAAAAAGGCCATAAAGATATAAAAAAAATTAGTGAAAGACATAAATAACTCAACTAACATAAAAAAATTATTAAAATGTGGTCAGAACTTGATAGCACTAATCTACAAAAATACTGAAAATTACTTTTCTTTCTAATCACACTTATATTTTCTACATTCTAACAATCTTATGCTTTATTATTAATCAAGAAAACATAGAAAAACAATATTAAAAAGTAGTCACTAAGTAGTACTTTTTGCTTTACACATGAATATTAAAAAGTAAAACTTGTTTTACTGCCAGCTTTGAATTCAATAATGCATCCATTACTATCAATTTACCTGTAACTTAGTTACTCTAAGGTGTAAAGAAAACTTTTTGAATAAATGTTATACACACACACACACACACACACACACACACACACACACACACACACACACAGAATTGACTACTTAATAGTATATAGTTAAAGGCTTTCTGAAACAAAACGAAACAATTTTCATACATACATACAGATACACACACACATAAAACTTACAGAAATATGCAGTCTTGGCAACCAGAGAAATGCAGAAGTTAGCAGCCTAGAGAATTTCTGCAGAAATATTAGTGTTTTCTCTTTGTCACCCAACATTATAAGGAACAAAGAGGACACAAACCAATCATGGCCAGGGTAACGTCCCTGTAGGCAACCTTTAGAATATTGTTAAGAAATAATCATAATTTTTTTGGCAATATAATGTGAAAATGTACGAAAATATTGCTACAATGAGTTATCTATATTACTTATGTATATGAAAGTGTTCATTTTCAAGTTTTCCTTCAGGAATGACAGATGCAAGATACCTTATTCCCACATGCAAACACATTTACAAGTAGTAAAGTAAAAATAAGCAATATCAGATTAAAAAGTGGAACTATTATGTTATAATTACTTCAATGTATTACAATTTATTCTATTCTCAATTAGAGTCTGATGCTACTAGTGAGTCAAAAGCAAGTTGCTCATTTTGTGAGAATACACTCATTTAATTCAGTAATGTTTAAAAAAAAAAGTTTGGTAAAATTCGGTACAATTATTTTACCTGCTAATGAATAACAAAATTTCTATTCAAGTAATAAAAACAAATCTACATACTTAAAGAAATTCAGTAACATGTGGCTAAATTTAAAAAAAAAAAAGGGAAGTATTTGGCAATATCATGAGATTTTCGTAAGTCAGCCGAAACAAGCATTTAGTAAGTGTTTACTACTAGGCACTGTGCTAAGTGCTGGGGATAAAAAGAAAAGTAAAAATAGAAAAATAGTCCATGGCCTCAAGAAGTTTATATTCTAAAAGGGGAGGCAACATGTAAATAATAACATATATAAAGGATATATGCACAGGACCAGAAAGGTAATTTCAGAACGGATGGAATTAACACATGTGAGTATTGGGAAAAGCCTCTAGCAGAAAGTTGGATTTGAGGTGACTCATGAAGAAAGCAAGAGAAAATAGGAGTTTGAGAAGGTGAGGAGATCAAGGTTGGGAGAGGGAAGGGAAAGGGGGGGCAGTTACCTGTGAAAAGGAATAGAAACAGGAATTTCTAAAATAAAATATTTCCTTGAATAAGTCTATAAACAAATTCTAATGAATGGACTGTTGATATATCATAGATAATTGTGTATTAAGAAAACTCAGTATTTTGGGCACATTAAACACAAATTGACTACTGCAGGTAAAAGTAATATTTTTAAAATATTTATTAAGATATTTTTTAAAAAATATCTAGGAAATTTAAATCATGGCAATGTTCCTTTTGCTTAGATTTTATTCAGAAAGGATACGAAGTGAAGATTTTATTGCTGCTTGCTGCTGCTTCAGAAATCTCTCAGAATGCTTCAACACCAAAGTGAGATCATTTTCAGCACCATCTTTGAGTAGATTAAGGAATTTACCATATCTACATAAAACCCACCAAACATTTAAAATGAGACATGCACTTAAAAAAAAAATTAAAAGTCTATTTAAGTGAATTAATAAATATGGAGGTTAATTTTTTAAAAATTCCTCATTCTAAATTCTTAACTCTAGTACAGATTTGAACCAAGGTTCCCAAATACAATACAACAAAGAGTTTGTGGAGAGCTTAGATTTACAGAGAAATGGATTTGAACTTAACTCTATAGGCAAAAGAGAGCCACTGAATATTTCTTAGCAGAAGAGTCATATGACTAGATAAAGGTATGGAAAGATTATCCTCACATGTATATAGAATGGTTTAGAGAGGGAAAAGAATAGAGATGATAAGATCTGTAAAAAGGGCACTGCAAAAGACCACATTGTGAGTGTAATAAGGCGGATGGAGGCTCTGGCCATGGTGAAGAGGTTTTGAATACTAGAAATAATGTGGAGGAGAATTTGGTAGCTGACTGGATATGAAAAATGAAGGATAAGGAAAAGTCAGCTATAACTTCAAGGAACAAGGATTACAAGATGAGATTTAGAGCTGGAAGGGTTCTCAGAGGTCATCTCTTCTGACCCTATCACTTTAAAAATTAAGAAGCTTGGGCCCAGAGAGCCTAAATGATTTTCCCAAAGTCACTGAGGTAGTATGAAGGAGATCGGACCTGAACAAATTTATTCTGACTAGATCTAGTACTCTTTGCATTACAGTATAAGAAATAGATAGAGGATGATGGCACCACAGGAAGAAATAGTGAAGTGAACATAAAGAGTGGGTTTAGAGGGTGGGCTAGTTTTATGAGCTTTTACAAGCTTAATTTTGTACGTGATGATTTTGAGAGGGATATCTGGGTATGAGATCTAATAATTACAATCAGAGATGGAAATACAGAACATAGAGAAAGGTCAACACTCTAGTGGCAGAGGAAAGGGAAGACTGCATTTTTCTTTTCTTGATATGAGTAAAGTCATTTTATAATAAGCCTCCATTTCAATATAAATGAGCAGTCAGTCACCTCTAACACCTAAGAGTCACCTATCTTTACCCCCACATATTAGGTGAACAGCCATGCCCCGTCTTGAATCCCTGAGGTCAATGACTTACTAAAAGATTAGGAAGTCTCTGTCACCTCCCCTGGAACACAACAAAATGCCCATAAGGCCAGTGGCTGCCAAGTGGTAAACATGTTTTCCCTAAACTCTAAGTACATTCAGAAGTCTGATTGCCCTATACAGCCCCTCTTATCTTTTCCAAACTTTTCCTTGACTTGGTTTGTACCTATGGATAAAATAAAATCTTTTCAATGACTGTACCTTAAATTGTAGCCAATGGATACTCTTTCCATGACAGGATTCAATATAAAGATCTGTCAGTCATCTACAGCAGCACTTCTCAAAATTTCTTAACCCACAGTTTAAGAAGTGCTTGAAGGGCTGCAAGTGGAAAAAGTTTAAGAAGCCCTGAGCTACAGAAAAGTTAGCTGAAGCTGTGGCAGTGAATACTTGTTGGCTTACTTAATACTGTTTGGTTAATTATATGAATTTCTTTTTTTTATATAAATTTTTTTAATATAAATTTATTTATTTTTAGTTTTCAATATTCACTTCCACAAGTTTTTGAGTTCCAAATTTCTCACCCCTTCCCCCACCCCAAGGTAGCATGCATTCTGAATACCCTTTCCCCTGGTCTGCCTTCTCTTCTATCTCTCCGCCCTCCCTTCTCTTATCCCCTTCCCCTTCTATTTTCCTGTAGAGTAGGATAGACTTCTGTACCCCATTTCCTGTATTTCTTATTTCTCTGTTGCATGTGAAAACTTTTGAGTTCCAAATTTTCTCCCTTCCTCCCTCCCCACCCACCCTCATTGAAAAGGCAAGCAACTCAATATAGGTTGTACATGTGCAGTTATGCAAAACACTTCCTTAGTAGACATGTTGTGAAAAACTAACTCTATTTCCCTTAATCCTATCCTGCCCTCCCATTTATTCTATTCTTTCTTTTGACCCTGTCCCTCCTCAGAAGTATTTGCTTCTGATTACCCTCTTTCCCAATCTGCCCTCCTCTCTATCACCCCCTGCTCTCTTGTCCCCTTCTCCCCCTATTTTCCTGTAGGGTAAGACAGATTTCCATACCCAATTGAATGTGTATATTATTCTCTCCTTAAGCCAAATCCTATGAGAATAAGATTCCCTCATTCCCTCTCACCTTCCCCTGTTTCCCCTCCACTGTGAGAGACTTTTCTGTTTTTTTTTTGTGAGATAATTTACCCCATTCTACCTCTCCCTTTCTTCTCCAAGTATAATCCTCTCTCATCCCTTAATTTTATTCTCCAGATATGACCCCTTAATCTTCAACTCACCCTGTGCCCTCTATCTATATATCTATATATACATACATATAATTTTTTTCCTTCAACTACCCTAATACTGACAAAGTTCTCATGAGTTACAAATATCATCTTTCCATGCAGGAATGTAAACAGTTCAATCTTAATAAGTCTCTTATGATTTCTCTTTCCTGTTTACCTCTTCATGTTCCACTGGAGTCCTGTATTTGAAAGTCAAATTTTCTGTTTAGCTCTGGTCTTTTCATCAGGAATGCTTGAAAGTCCTCTATTTCACTGAATGACCATTTTTTCCCCTGAAGGATTATACTCAGTTTTGCTGGGGGTGATTCTTGGTTGTAATCCTATCTCCTTTGCCCTCCAGAATATTATATTCCATGCCCTGCAGTCCTTTAATGTAGAAGCTGCTAAATCTTGTGTTATCCTGATTGTGTTTCCACAGTACTTGAATTGTTTCCTTCTGGCAGCTTGTAATATTTTCTCCTTGACCTGGGAACTCTGGAATTTGGCTACAATATTCCTAGGAGTTTTCCTTTGGGGATCTCTTTCAGGAGGAGATCTGTGGATTCTTTCAATTTCTATTTTGCCCTCTGGTTCTAAAATATCAGGCAGTTTTCCTTGATAATTTCTTGAAAGATGATGTCTAGGCTCTTTTTTGATCATGGCTTTCAGATAGTCCAATAATTTTTAAATTCTCTCTCCTGGATCTATTTTCCAGGTCAGTTGTTTTTCCAATGAGATATTTCACATTGTTTTCTAATTTTTCATTCTTTTGGATTTGTTTACAGTGTCTTGATTTCTCATAAAGTCACTGTCTTCCAATTGCTCTATTCTAATTTTTAAGGAAGTATTTTCTTCAGTAATCTTTTGGACTTCCTTTTCCATTTGGCCAATTTTTCTTTTTAGGGCATTTTTCTCCTCATTGGCTTTTTGGACCTCTTTTGCCATTTGGGTTAGGCTGTTTTTTAAGGTGTTATTTTCTTCAGTATTTTTTTGGGTCTCCTTTAGCAAGCTGTTGACTTGTTTTTCATGATTTTCTTGCATCACTCTCATTTCTCTTCCCAGTTTTTCCTCTACTTCCCTTACTTGCTTCTCAAAATCCCTTTTGAGCTCTTCCAAGGCCTGGGACTGATTCATATTTTTCTTGGAGGCTTTGGATGTAGGAGCTTTGATTTTGTTGTCTTCTTCTGGTTGTATATTTTGATCTTCTTTCTCACCAAAGTAAGATAATATAGTCTGACTCTTTTTGCGCTGCTTGCTCATGATCCCAGCCAATTACTTGAGTTTTAAACTCTTTGTTAAGGTAAGAGTCTGCTTCCAATGTGGAGAGTGTACTGTCCCAAGCTTCAGGGGTTTGTGTAGCTGTTTTCAGAGATACTTGTAGGGACCTGTAAATTTTCAGTTCTACCAAGGTGACATGATAAGGGGCAAGGTGTTTACTCCTTTCCTGGCCTGCGACCACAAGTATTCCTTTCTGTCCTGTAACTGTGAGGAGGGGTTCCTCTCCACAGCCACTACAAGCTCCACCACGCCAGTGCTCCTCCTCACCCCAGCACTGCTGCCCAGAACTGTGACCCAGATCCACCCACGGGCAAAGCAAGAGATTCCTGCCTCAGCACTGGCAAAGAGATCCCTGCAGTCCCTCTCTGATCAGCCACTGGATTCCCCCTCAGTCTGTGGGCTGGAAGCTCGGGAAGCAGCTGCCCCCCCCAGGGCCACGCTCTTGGGGAATGGAGCTGAAACCCCGCCTTCCTCTCTGACCACCGACAGACACATGTTTTCCCACTGACCTTCTAAGTTGTCTTTGGCATTAGTGGATTGAGGAGTCTGGAAACCACCACCGTTGCCCGAGATTCAGTCCTTTGAGCCTGCTCCAGGTTTGCTGTGGCCTGCGCGCCCACGCTGCGCTGTGCTGTGCTCCCAGCCCGGCACGATACAGGTTTCTGATCAATCATCCAGGTTGTCTTGGGCTGGAAATTTGTTTCACTCTGTCTTTTTGTGGGTTCTGCTGCTTCAGAATTTGTTTAGAGCCATTTTTTATGAGTATTTGGAGGGGTTTGGGGGAGAGCTCAAGTAAGTAACTGCTTTCACTCCGCCATGTTGGCTCTGCCCCCCATGAATTTCTAATAGTATTGTAAAAATGTTCAAGTCATTCAACACAAATGCACAACTTCAATGGGAAAAGAAAATAATATGAGGAAAATAAAATTCAGGTTCATCTTGGATGACCATCAGTAATTTATTCAAGTGATTAAATGTTTATTGAGTTCCTATTTTGTGCTACACATTCCACTAGCTGCAGGAGATAGGAAAAGGGGGAACTTTAGGGAAAGATGAAATAAGGCTTCATGGATGAAAGAACATTTGAACTGGGCCTTAGAAGGCTTAGATAAGCAAAATCATAAGAAGGAAAAAAACTGGAATTCTAAGTTGATGGAACATTGTGAACCAAGGCACAGAGATGGAAAAAATAGGGAAAGACTTCAGTGAATGGCATCAGTCCACGTTGTAGCATTTGATCCATGAAAGGGACAGTGGTAAGGGAAGAATGGATTGTAAATAATTTGATTTGTTAGGGTTTTTTTGGCTGGGCAATGGGGGTTAAGTGACTTGCCCACGGTCACACACCTCGTGTTATGTGTCTGAGGCCAAATTTGAACTCAGGTCCTCCTGAATCCAGGGCCAGTGCTCTATC